ATGGGAACGAACATGATTAGATCTCTTCCTTTCGTATGTGTACCCCTACAAGGAGGTCTGAGCTAGCTGCAAGAATTAGTGAATCACGTTTAAAATTTTTGGTTTTACTTGGGATTTGTTTAAGATGGTATAAGATGGTTCTTCTTGGTTTTGAAAATGACAACTTGACAAAGTAGAGAGTGACATGGATTTCTCTTGCGATGTCTTTGTTTCCTGCATCAGCCTCCACTTGAACTAAAATGAATCACGTTTTATTGTGTAAGCACCGACTCAGCTTTTATTTGTTCTAAAAATCCATCGAATTGCCTACGATTTCCAACGTCTACCATCGGTGTATTTTGCGGTAATGTCAACAATACCTTTTTAGGAAACATATACCTCAACTCCACGTCGTAAAGTTGCTTCTCGATCTTGTACTCGTCAACCACCATCCGACCAAAATCTTGAAAATAAGTTCGTTTATTTGTTCTTATAGATTTTTTCCCTCTTTCGTTATCAACACCATTTTGAAGCATCCATTTATCACAAATCAAATTAATGAGCACCATGTATTTTTTGAAAGAGAATCAAAAATAAGAAGAAGATGAATACTAGATGTTAAAAAAAGAAGATTAAGACTAAAAAGGGAGAAGCGACAGAGAAGACACACGACATCTCCTATATCAAAACCTAATTTTTCATTTTTTTTTTCAATTAAAAATTTATTCCGGTTTGATTCGGTTAATATAGGTGGTTCGGTTTGGTTTAGCCAAATCGGTAGGGTTAGGTTAATCTATATAAGTAAGTCTATGGTTAAAGAAAAATAAATTTGTGGTCAAAAGAATATAAATATATCATGTAAATCTGTGGCAAAAAGAAATAAATCTATCAAATAATAATAAATCTGTCAAAATAAGATAAATTTGTTGCCAAAAGGAAATAAATTTGTGACAAAATAATTAAGTCTGTCAAATTTAGAAAAATTTGTCTTTAAATATAAACAAATCTGTAATGGTAATAATTAAGTCTTTCAAAATTAAATAAATTTGTGGCCAAAGTGGAAAAAAATCTATCGAATATTAATAAATCTGTCAAAATAAAATAAATTTGTAGGAAAAAAAAATAAATCTGTGACAAACTAATTAAGTCTGTCAGAGTTAAGAAAATCTGTGGTCAAAGAAAATTAAATCTATTGAAAGCTAATTAAGTCTGTTAAACTTAAGTAAGTCTATAGCTAAAAATAAAAAAATTGTTAAGTAAATTTGTGAAATATTTATAAATCTGTCAATATTAAGTAAATATGTGGGGAAAAGAAAATAAGTCTATCTAAAAATAAATATGCGGTCACTTTAAATTAAATCTGTCATATGGCAAAACCGTAATTTTTTAATTATTATTTTTTATTGAAAATGGCATTTTTGTAAATAAATTTTTTTCTAACAAAGGATTTGAGGGTATAATAGGCATGAAAATATTTATAGTAATAAAAATAAAATAAGAGTTAGTCTAGTAATTAACCAAGAAATAAGTGCTAAACTAGTTTTTTTTTCCAAAAAAATAAGGTACTAAAAATGAAAAGTTGTTAACATCAAAATAACACGTGACAGTCTCTCAAAATTTCATTTAGAGGAAACCTTAAAATATTATATTAGATTATCGATGGCCGAAAACAAAGAAGCTTCAGAACAAAAAATGGTAATAGTACTAATGGTAAAAAAATTGAAAAAATATTTCATTTTGGATACTAAAAGTCTAAAATCACGTAAATCTATGATAGAATACAAAAACATTATATTCAGTTTTATTTGTCCATTTTTTTATAGTTTTTTATTATGTTGTACCCATTTATAGTTGAAAAATTATACCGTTTTAAGTTACCAATCAAATCTATCATATGTGCAAACTGTGTAACATAAATGATAAAAAAAATTGATGTGTACAATATTTTATAATTTGAGAATTTCAAAAATATCATTTTGGGATTTCGAAAATACAAATCTCTATACTATTAAAAGAGAAGTCATTTAGAGTAAATGTCCAAAATCCTATCTAATATTACTAAAATTACCATTGGTTTTAAACTAATGAAATTCAATTGAAATGAGTAATTTTGGAANTTTTCAGTGGCAATTTCAGTAATTATCTGTTGAATTTTGG